CCGTCTAGTGGTAGGAAAGAAACGGAAATTAGATATTCATCGGTTTTAGTAGTATTGTACTTACTTGTAAATAGAAAAAAGCGTCCCGCCGCGCCCCTTCAAAAATGATTCTATCCTCCCCCCTTCCGAAAGTTTCTCTCGGGCACCGCTGCTAACTATCATAAGTGCCCCACACCTTGACCTTGTAGAGCTTTTCCTTGAGACGAAAATCATCTGTCATACTTCCAGCTTCCGAGCTTGCCCCAGTCGATAAAGATGTGAGGACTTTCTCGTTTGGCATTTGCTCCTGAAGAATATGATCAGAATGTCAAAATTATTACAGATAGAAAAATTAGAATTAATGCATAAACCATGCACACAAAACAAATGATTTCAATTTTCATCGTACATTACAAGTTTTCGCTTGCAGGTGAGTGGCCAAAACTTGGTCCGACCAATCCAACAAATTGCGATCATCGCACCTGCCTTGAAATATAGGGATCTGGACTGATCGTGAAAGTCGGTGAGTTTGCGGCCAACTCGCGCAGACTTTCTCAGTTCTCTTTCCATTGTCACACGTTTTTATTTGCATGTGAGCTTTCAATTAACTGAAGCGGTTTTGGAAGATATTTGTGGCAGTGGGCAATGGCCGCAAACTCACTGACCTTCAGGCTAAGCGACTTTCTGGAAAGAGCGTTTGAGTCTGAAAACTTGGTCAAGTCCTAATGACTGAAGTTCGTTTAACGGCAGCCTGAAGGCACGTGATCACATTATGAGTATTCTACCCAGAGAAAAGAAGTACACCTAATAAAGAAAAAGTGTTTTTGACAAGTTCTACGTAAAGCATGCATTACAGATACAAGCAGCCCCATTACCAAACGCTCGTAATTCTTCAAAGGCACCTAGCAAATAAAGAGCATATATGGGAGATTAGTGCTTGGAGGCGCGTGCGACGCATAAGCTTGTTTGGATTGACAGGACCATGTTCTGATCATTTTTTGTCCAAAATACGCGCAAATGCTGACATTCGAATCAGTTTACTGTGATGAAAGTTCTGAACAAAATACCTGGAAAAGTCTAGAACCAAAAAGTCACCATGGCCTTGCCCTACAGTCCGTTTTCGTCATGGTAATCTCCAGTAATCGCATCATCTTACCTCATGTAATCGCGGATCAAAGGTGAAATCGTATTTGTCTCCACGTAGAGGCTGACTAGATGAAAGAGACACTGGCAATTCCACAATCTGTCTCCTGCAAAAATATTTTGAAATTCACAGAAAAGGATATTAGCGTGCTGACCTAACAAGGTCCTGAAATGGTGGGGCTGTATCTGACGCAGCGGACTTCGATCGCGGATTGGGCCTAGCAATCGGTGAAGGAATTATTGGTGGACCCTTAAACGAACAAGGCACTGTAAGGCTAGCTGTACAACAGGAGATATATTGCGGCACCTACCCCTTCCAAAGACTCCTTTTCTCCTGCAATATGAGCACTATTCCACACAGTCTTCAAACCATCTTCTCCATGTATTTCTGCCACACTTTTTAGAGGCGAAGAATCAGCGCTGTTTATAGTTGAAGTGGCCTCTGGAGCGACAGTCTCCACTTTTTTGCGTTCCTGCTGTTTGGATCTGTTTTTCTCAGCAACTGCACCCCAGTTTTCGTCCTCCTGCTTTTCCTTTCGCGTTTCACCCTTTTTGAGTTCTAAAAAAGTCCATAATATACAACAATTCCAGAATTCTTCATAATAAAACTCAACTTTTCTTGTGTTATAATGACGAATGGGTTTCTTATTCTGAGAGCGGAGGTGTCGTTCCCTCTCCTTCATCTTACGCCTTTCCTCTGCCTCAAGCTTCGCTTGCAGCAAAAGAGCTTTCTGTTTTTTCGCTCGCTTATTCAATACCTGCAAATAAAACATTTTATACATGAGGATTACACATGAGAAAACCATCGAAAAAGCCTGAGTTCAACCTCTTCAAACTCTTCGCTGGCATCTACACTCGCCGTTTCAACCAGATGATCGTCAATGACCACAACACTTGCTATGTTATTGATGTCAAGACCCGCCAGCGCGTCCGAAACATTCTGAAATACCAGCAACTTGGTGGTCCAATAAGCATACCAATAAAGGAGCCTGATTCTGGAGAATGTACCCTCGAGCTAGTCTCCTTGTTGTTTTTGTAATTGCTGTAACTTCCGGAGGGGGACTGGCACGTACGGCTGGCGGGTTGGACGTTTTTTGAACCATAAGACCGCTCTGTATTGTTAGGGGCGTTTGGATTATCCACGCTGGAACCTGAGCAGACGGGAGTGTTCCGATTTCCTGGTTGGTGTGGGTTTGATGGGCTTAGTCTTGAAGGAGTCGCATTTGAATTCATCTGTCGACTAGAACCCCGCGTAGAACCTATTGCAGTGCTAGAAAGAGTCTAATTCTTAGCGAAAAGGAAACCATTTAAAAAGACAATTGAGTGTAACAAACTTGGATCGCTCATCGCGCGTAGCACGTGCACTGCTTTCACTGGCTGTTTCCCATTCATCGTAACCCTCACTGGAAACGACCGGACTTCGAAGGCGGTCAGTTCCTTCTTGCCCGATAGTTTTCACATGCGGATGTGTCTTTTGATGCACGTCGAACTGAAATACTGATTGGAAAGATGCTAGAGACCGTCTCAGTAATAGATAGATAAGAGAGCAACACTTCCTGACTCATCTAGCAATGGCGGCAAGAGACGAAATGACGTAAATAACGAACAAAGCAAAGCTTTTGAAAAAGCTTCTTACCTTCCGACGAGTACGCTGCTGCGGGTAATCATGTCTCCCTCTGAGCTGTGCGATTGGTCTCACTACATGACTAGCGTTACTTGTTCCACCATCGCTTCCGCGGTGGTATCTTTGTGTATGTGATTCCTACAAAACAGATCAATCAACAATGAATCAAGCAAAATTTACTTAGTTCAAGAAAGAGAGTAAAGTAGCGATATGAGCGCCGCTGTGACAGCAAGAAACAATTTTTAATCTTGCTACAACCACTTAAGTCTCCACTTCCAACACAGTAAACTATTAATCAGAGTCACCAGGGGAAATAAAGCCCTCACTTGACAACGACTGACCTAGCTCTTTCATAGAGATCAAATAAGTAGCCTCGAATATAAAGCAAAATGCGTCTGGCAGATATAGTTCATTCATAGAATGGTGACGACGGATTCGACTGCGTCTTTGCGCCCAGCGCAGCGCAAAACACTGATAACAAAGGCATCACCTCCGCTCAGCGCAGTAACTTCCAGTGTCTAGATACTAACCTAGTAAGCAGAAATACCAAACAAAAAACAGATGAAACCCAAAGAAATGCGATTGCTGAAGGTGCAAGCGTGTTGCGCGCCACCATCACGATTTTTGGAATGCCCATACTTCAAACAATCAAAACAGAATCCCTCTTCGTGAAAATAAGGCCGAGAAGTGCTCATGAAGGATACAAAGTATGAAAGAACGCAGCATCCACAGCGATAGGGGTCGTGATCAAGCAGAGGAGGTTTAGAAACTCGAAAACTTATAACAAGAACTTGAGCTTTAAACAAATGTCATGCTCAAAGGTAAAAAAAGTGTCGAGAATGCTTTTTTCTATGTAAAGAGGGCTAAACGAGGTCACCTGAAAATGCGCATATAGGCAACTTTGGTGTCGTTCAATTCGCTACAAGTAATTTGTTTATATGGAGCACAATTTTTCAGTCTTGCGCGGTAAGGATTATATCATTCGAAGTGAAGCTTCTCTCGACCAGTCTGTACTGCTGGGTCTGAGAGCGCTAATTAATCTACATGTTATACGAGTACTAAGATAACCCCTCTAGTCTTTACTTCCAAAATCTATCCAGTTTAACCATAAGCTACTCCCGAGTCTCAGTCATACTCTTCGTTTCATTTTATTTGACACCAAGTGTATGCTACCTCGAAAAAATTCTATCAAATTTAAGAAACAAGGGTAAGGGCCAGCGACTGTAGGACAGGGCGTATCTTGACACTGCGCCCTTGTGCATGTCTTAGCGATGAAAGAAAACGCATGATGTGGAAAGGAACGAAATCAAGGAAAGCTATGGGTTATTTCGCAGTACAAACCTCAGACTCCGTTTTGCCGAGCTGCTGTGCTCCTTTTCCCCTTCGATTGTGCCCGCGTTGAACATAGCCTTTGTTTCTGTACCTAGGATGTGCCAGTAATCAAGATGTTTACAACTCTGTGATCTACTCCACAGAATTTGGAATAACAGAACATCAAATGAAAAACATAAGCTGACCTGTTCGGAGGACGTTCGTTGACTTCTCTAGACGAAGGGAATGCTGCGGAATCCTCATTCCTCTGCTCATCCACAACTGCACTTTCATTCTGGTTAAGTGGCGACTTCCCCCCTGTTGACTTTTGCACATCAGACCGTGTTTTTGTTTTCGCTGTTGCCGTAGTTTTGTCCCCCACAGCACCGAAGTGAGGCTTTCCATCAGTCACGTGTCCTCCAGAATCATTTTCTGAGACCGCAGCGGGTTCGTTCACATACTGAAAATGAGCGAGTCACACTTTGTGACCCCAGAAGTATCGGTCGATCAAATTCAGAGTAAGTTAGTCCGGCATACAAAATGGGACATGACAGGCATAAGTATACAACTGCGCAAGCCGTTATGAATAAGTAAACATAGGATTATTTCACTTCTTAGTACGATAGTGGCCGAAACGGAGGGGAGGGGGGGATA